ATAGCCCATCCTTTTTCCCATAAATAAGTAATTAGTGATGGTACTGTCCTCTCTAATGCCTTGACTGAGTTAGATGTTAGCATCAGATCATCAGTGCGGTGGTACATTTTGACAGTAGATGCTTTGATCCAATGTGCCACCAAATTATGACAAAAAGCAGGTGAATGCACGTATCACTGAGGTAGGACTTGAAAAGTCACCTGCCCTCCAGTGTGAATGCAAACTGGTCTTGACATTCCTTAGCAACTGGAATGCTGAAAAATGCATTTGCTCGATCCAGAATGCAGTGCTGTGTTTCTGTTTCTACTTCATGTATCCGTGAGGGAGGTGATGTTGGGTACGGCCGCTTGGGTTGGCGGTGTGACTTTAATTCTCTGTAGTCTGCTGTCATTCACCACGTACATCTGACTTCCTGACTGGCCATATGGGGGAGTTGTAGGGCTGTGCGCAGGTCTAATGATCCCTACTCTCTCCAGCTCCTGCACAGTCTTGGTAATTTCTTCTTGCCCAGCCGGGAGTCTGTACTGCTTTGTATTTGTGATCTGACACGGTTGTGGCAAACAAACAGGCTCAATTTTCACAGGACCCCTTATAATTGCCTGCACTGCCCGGACACTAAAACATCTTTCCCTTCATCTGAACTTTCCCACAGTCGTCTGGAGAGCCAGGCCCCATAAAATGCCTGTGCCCAGGATGTACTCTGGAGCTGGGGCAACAGGCACTTTATACTCGGGGTGGGAGTCACCCAACCCCCAGTTTCAACCATCTTTGGGTCACAGGAATGGTCTGTGCCCCAAAGCCACCGATCATCACTCTATCCCCATTACATTCAGTTGGATCTCCATAAATAACTGATGTTTCTGCACCTGTGTCAAGCAGCGCCACAACCCTTTGTACGATCTTTAGGGACCAAAAGATTGTGAGCTCAGCATGGGGCCTCTGGTCCCATCTGGAGGCCATAGGGGAACTAACATCCCCTGTCATGCCACAAACTGTGCTGTATCCAGGTCTTTTCCTCAGGAGGCTCAGGCACTGTAGCCCGTATCACCTGTGAAAGCTTTTTCCTTCTATTAGGGACTATAAAGTTCTCTGAATTCCAAGTCCTTATTGGCATTTGTTGAATTATTTGTACTCCCGGACTTGTGGGAGGATTTTGGAGTTCCTGATCATCTCGTGGTTGTTTCCATAATCGAAGTAAAACTTGATTAGGCTGCCGATCGATTTTGACAAAGGCAGCCCCTGCTCCTATGAGGGCTTGTTTTCGGGACACGTGTAAGGAGCCCGGTCCGGGTGCCTGTGGGGCAGCCTTGTGGTCTTAACTGGGAAAACCTTGGCTTCTTCTACCACTCGAACGCCTTGTTCTTAGGCGCTGTTTCCTCCGAATCAGCTGCCAGCTGGGCAGCTTGTTGGATAAGGCCACTGGGGCGTTCAGTTTCAAAACTCAAGTTCCACGGAGGTGGGAAGGAGCCTGTTGTAAAATCGGGTCTCTCGTTGCCACCGTAAATTTTGTCAGGTCTGGGTTCTCAAAAGCTTCCTCATGCGTTGCTTCTGTCATTCCTAATTCATGAATATAGGTTTGAAGGCCCTCCATGGCATAAACCTGCGTGCAATGGGACGTCAGTCCTACTGGGCCAAGCCAGACGCCGTGCTGCCCTCAACCAATCTATCGTGGAGTGGTTCTCATTACTGTATTGAATGGCAGTGTACAACCTCTGTCGAAGGGCAGAATGTAAAGTAGTGGATCCCACTTTGGAAATGTCCAGCCCATTTAGCGTGATACTCTCTGCCCCTAAATCCCGTAATCTCAGAAGCCAGGCTGACGTTCTCTCTGGGCTTCTGTTGGAATTTCTGTACCAAATCCAGTGATTCTGTTGGCATAGAAGAACAGGCTGTTACGTGTAGGTGGGTCCGGGCAGGGGGCCGCTGATCAAGGGGTGCCCCTGCTGGTCTATGCTGTATTTCTGTGTTTGCTTGGTTTTGAGTTATTATAGGACAAATCTCAAAGGAATCCATTGCAGATGGAGCTTCGAGATCCGATTTGGAAGCTTTGTCTTCTGGATTGACCAGGTGCATCAATTCAGGAGCCTCGGTATCATTTGATAAAATGTTATGGACCTGCTTCATTGGGAACTTCAGGTTTGATTTTTTTTAGTTGGAATTCTAATTTTTCAATCTGATCTCCTAATAGTCGATTTTCATTTTCTAAAGTCTTAGTTCTCACTTCAGCCCGATTTAAAGCATTAAATAGTGGCCATGCTACAGTGGAAGGCAGCAAGTCGGCATTCTTTCATAACTAATACTTCCTTATCTAAGCCATGTAAGTAATCCACCATGTGGGATGGGGAAGAAATATTCCCAGAAACCCGCAGGGGACCTCATTATTCAACTGTAGTTATGAGTTCATAGTAAGGTGATGCCAGAAATCCTGGGATCTGTCCAGGAATGGTTTAATCTGAGGGGGTAATAATATTCTCCCCCTTGATCCATTTAAAGGCATTTCAAGGAAAGACATTTTCTTTTAATATTTTAGCCTGCCTGGCTCACGAAGATGTAGAGCAAACAAGGGCAATGACTCAGCCTTTATTGGAGAAATAGTTGCCGTATGAAATAGATCAGAGAAAAATTAACTCAGCCCTCCCAGTAGCAGTTTGGAGAAAGGGGCGAGCTGAGGAATACAGCATTCGTCTGGTGCTGCAGGAAGGAGGGCTGGGGGGAAGGGGAACTCGGGCTGCACAAGCGTTCCCAGAAGTATCGCTGAGACATGATGGTGGCTCTTGCCCCCCTCCACTCCAGGCGGTCACGTGCTCATGTAGTGCTTCAGGCTGTGGCCTTGGAATTGCCCTACACGTGGACATATTTTGCATTAAAACCGCCTGCGCTGTGATAGTCTGGAGGGCTCAGCCTTCATTTTTGGTCTGGAGTCTGCAGGCAAGTCCCTGTTGATAGCAGGGGGTTGGAATTCGACGCCTGGGGAAGCCGAACCACACCAAGGTGCGTGGATGGTCTGCTCTGGCAGCTGCACTGCAGCACTTTTCTGTTCTCTCCTCCTACCCCGCTGCGATTCTGCCCATAGCAGTGGTTGCTGCACTCACTTTGGGAGGGCCTTCGCAGTACAGAGTCCAGCCCACACAGCCACGCTCGGCTCTGAGCCGCCAGCTGCGAACCCGCATCCGTGGGAGGTACCCAGAAAACTTGACGGTATCTCTGCTCAAAACAGATTTCACTGCCATAGCAATGCCATTGCTAATTGCAAAGCAATTGCCATAGCCATGTCGGCTGTCCCGCAGGCAGCAGCGCACACAGAAAGCAGCGTACATCTCTTATGCCTTATTGCCCAATGCTGATCTCTTCCTCCCGTGGTTCCTCATTGGCTGAATGCTTCAGGTTCACAAATCTTCCCGAGGCTCAGCTAAACACATCCGTACCTGATGTATGCTGTCTAAATCCTAGCTATCTAAACATGCATACTGCTCATTGTTTTGCTGCTTCTCCTACAATGCTCTATCGCTCAGCTCTTGTCTGTCCAGCACCAATAAATTACCCCATCCACCTCATCTCCGTGACCATAAAGTGCTGCAGCCATCTGCTGACCGTGCACAGACCATCAGAGACCTCTGGTGAAGTAAAAAGACCCCCCTGAAAACAACTGTTAGTAAAGTATTTATGCCCTTAGTTCTAATGCAGAAGCAACATCCCGTTCCCACGTTACCAGTGTCCCGGAATGCCACGTTGGCAGATGAGGATAAAAGAATGCAGAATATGGAGGTTCTGCCACCATCCCTTTCCTCAGCAAACCATCAGTTTGGGTTTCTTCACTCCCTCCAACCACTGCTTGTCATCATCTCTTAATTACCTCTGAGGCTTCTGCTGTTATTTCAGAGACGCTTGGGAAGCGGGCAGCGGTTCAAAAACTTCAAGGATTCTCACAGTGCACAGCAGCTCATTTCCTTATGGGGCTGGATTATAAATGCAAATACTCTGTTGCCACAGGAGCCAGGCAGTGGGAACCAGGCAGCATATAACACTCTTAAATGTCTCCAGATTGGTTGCAGATGAGTTTCCAAGGCTGTGTTTCTGCATCAGATGTCAAAAAGGGGGAACTGGTCTGAAGAAGCAGAGCGTAATGTTTGTATGTAATGTTTGTGTTTTGTACCTTGTCCTTAGAAACAGCTGGTGTGAAGAGGTGGAAATACCACACACGTTAGTAGCATGGTTTGGAAATAGAGTTGCTGAATTATTATTAATTCATAATTCATATTAAATCATAATTAATATAATTAATTATGATTAATTCTCACTTGCAAAACTGCAGTAGTTTTTAGACGTTTTCGAATAGTACAGGTATTATGATGGGCTGGAAAGGATGTTCTAAGGCTGTTTGGATAAGAGACCCTCAGCAGAAGAAGAGCAGAGTTAGCAACCATCAGAGAAGCCAACAGGGCCACGCAGGGCCAGGTGGTCTCACTCTGTGGGAGGGAACTGATGGCTGCCAGGAGGTTCCTCCGTGTCGCTGTAGTTCCTGGCTACCAAAAGAAGACCGTGGGCCACCGTAAGGGGGCGGTGAGCTGCCATGGAGCCTCCCCTCGGTCTCCTCTCTGGGCAGAACAACCCAGAGAGCTCAGGTGCTGCTCACCCGACGGGGCTCAGAGCGACGTAGAAGGACGGGCTGGAGTCGGGTTGGCGATCCGGAGGTCATTTCCACCCCTGGGGTCTCAGTGCCTCTCTGCATCCAACCCATCCTCGCTGGGAGGACACCGCTGTGCTCCAGCGCTCAGGCGGGGCTCCCAGCGCCGTCCTTGGCCGCGCTCTGACGGCCGGCTCCTCCCCTTATCCTTATCGTCGTCCCCTCCCTTCCTCTGCGCGTTCTCTTTCCCTTTTGACAACCTTCGGGAGCGAGCTCTGCCTGGCGCCCGGTGACGTCACGCGCGCTCTCGGTCTCCATTGGCCAGGCTGTGGCGGAGGCACCAATGGGGACGCGGGGCGGGGCCGGAGGTGTCCCGGAGAGCGGCGCCATGGGTGCGAGCGAGGCGGTGCTGCTGGGGCTCCTGCTGGGGGTCCTGGGCGAGGCGGCGTGCGGTGAGTGTTGCGGGAACGGGCTGCCCCCGGCACCGGGACCCGCGGCTCCTCGCTCCTGGGCTGCGTCCGCGGGACCCCTGCCCGCGGTTCACGACTCCGGCGCCATCTGTCCCGCAGAGTCGCACTCCCTGCGGTACTTCCTGACGGGGATTACGGATCCCGGACCCGGGATGCCGCAGTTCATGGCCGTCGGGTACGTGGACGGCAAAGCCTTCGGGAACTACGACAGCGAGCGCCGGACGGTGCAGCCCATCGTGGAGTGGCTGGCACAGGAGGACGTGAAGCACTGGGATGCGGAGACCAAGAAGGCCCGGAGCGGTGAGCTGGATTTCTACGTGGCTCTGGACTGGCTCCAGGAGCACTACAACAAAAGCAGAGGTGAGCTGCAGTGGGCGGCAGGGCTGGGATGGGGGATCCGTGGGGCGGGGGCTCTATGGGGTGTCTGTCAGCCCCACTGAGCCTTGGCTGTGCCCCGCATGCAGCTGTGCTGAGCAATCCATGTGTGGTATTACTCTCCCTGGGATGCCCCGTTCCTGAGCCCACTCACCCCATCCCAGCTCCATGGTGCCTGTAGTGTCCCACAGCCCAAGAAAGCCCCTCACTGCCCACCCCGCTGTGTCTCAGGCTCTCACACGCTGCAGAAGATGTTCGGCTGTGACATCCTGGAGGACGGCAGCATCCGAGGGTATGATCAGTTTGCATTTGATGGGAGGGACTACATGGCCTTTGATATGGACACAATGACGATCACTGCGGCCAACGCGGTCGCACAAATCACCAAGAGGAATCTGGAGGATGAAGGGACGTATGCTGAGAGATGGAAGCATGAGCTGGGGACCGTCTGCATTGAGAACTTGAGGAGGTACCTGGAGCACGGGAAGGCTGTGCTAAAAAGGAAAGGTGAGGTCGGGAGGGGGACATGAGGTGGGTGTGGGGCAGGGGCTTGGTGTGGGGAGCTCAGCCTGGCCTACAATGTCACCCATCTGCAGAGCGGCCCGAGGTGCGAGTGCGGGGGAAGGAGGCTGACGGGATCCTGACTTTGTCCTGCCGCGCTTACGGCTTCTACCCACGGCCCATCGCCATCAGCTGGATGAAGGACGGTGTGGTCCAGGACCAGGAAACCCACTGGGGGGGCATCGTGCCCAACAGCGACGGCACCTACCACGCCTTGGCCACCATCGATGTGCTGCCGGGGGACGGGGACAAGTACCGTTGCCATGTGGAGCACGCCAGCCTGCTCCAGTCCAGCCTCTTCTCATGGGGTGAGCCTGGCAGTGGGGGTGCGTGGGGCTGGGGCTCAGAGTCCACCCCTTCCTTTCCTGACAACACCGCTCTCCCGCAGAGCGGCAGCCCAACCTGATCCTCATTGTGGCTGGAGTGGTCTTCGTGGCTGTTGTCGCTGCTGTCATTGGATTGCTGGCATGGAAGTGCAAGTCAGGTAAAGGCAGAGGGCTGTGGGCAGAAGGTGGGGAGCACCCAAACCCCCTTGGGAGTGCCTGCGCTCTGACATGAGCCAATGCTGACACTTCTTTCTGCAGGGAAGGATGAGAAAGGTTACAGAGCTGCACTAGGTAAGTGATGAGGGCAGCACTGTCCCCTGCCGATGCTCAGGGTTGGGGCACTCTGGGGCCCCTCATTGCTTTGGGGTCACTGTGGTGGTGGTGGCCTGATGCTCCGTGCCCCATAGCGAGCACAGAGCCAGGGCTCATGGCTCTCCCTTGCAGGCCATGATGGGGAATCCAGCAGTTTGGCCACAGGTACAGTGTGGGACCGGGGATCAGGAGGGGTCCCTGAGGTTGGAGGGGTCTCGATTCCCTGCGTTCTTCTGTTGGACTCACAACTGGGGCAATACTGGGCCCAGCTCTCCCTAGAGAGCCCCCAGAGCAGTGAGTCAGGACAGGGACGTGGCCGCACGTGACACCGTCTCTTCTCACCCCTGCAGGGAGTGAATCTTCCATCTGAGTGCTGTGCTACTTCAGCTGGCCCTGCGTGCGTTTGGAGTTTGTGGGTGTGTGTATCTCAGCTCAACCTGCTGTGTCTTCTTGGGCTGACATTCCTCTGCTCCGTTCCGTGAGGTTTTCTCCTGGGGGTGACCCACTTCCGGGCAGAGCGCTGTGCATCATTTTGGGGAAGATACCATGGCGGACGCATCGGGATGAGAGCACCGGGTTCTGGGCCCAGGGGACAAGTGGAGCCTCTGGAAGAGGCCAAGAAGAAAAGAGTTCATGTCCCAAACACTCCGTAGAAGTGCAAAAGAAATCAGCACAGCAATGAGACGAGGAGTGTGTGGAGGAGGTGGTGGTGTGAAGGTGAGGCAGCCATTTCCTTCGCTCCTGGAGCTCTGCAGGTCCCACTGAGTAACAACAGGAGAACTCAGACCAGGAGAATGTCTCACAAAGCATGGCGGTGCTCCAAGTAGACCCAACCGGTGCTCATTTGGTGGGGTGGACAGCAAGAGACCCTCCGCCCCACCGACCCATTGCCAGAGTATTCAGATGGGCTCTGCCCACCACCTGAGACCCTTCTGGGATGGTCTGAAGAAGGACTCAGCCCTACCATAGGTGGGCACAGGAACACAGAAAGCAAAGGTGCATAGGAACATATAAGGCGCCCCACACTTAGGGGAACAGCTGTGACATCGCTGGGTACAAGGGCAGTGAGTGCATCTTCATCTCTCTCCTCTCTCTTCCTCTTCCTCTCTTTCTTTCCAAGCCATACCAGAATGTAACACAAGGCATAGCACCACAGCTTATTGCTAATTGGGTACATCGTTGTGATTGTTCATATATTGAGCTTGACTGGAGTTACAGCACCAAATTGGGCATCCTTCAACCAGAGCTCAGCCCCTCCAGGGCCCTGACAGCTGAGAACAAGCTGGAGCACGAGGGGAGTTGTTTTCTGCCAAATTTCTTTGCACTCTTTGTGTGACGCCTTTCCAGTCAAATAAAGCTCAGCAGTTTGGATTGCTGGTTTGCAGCTCATCCTGCGTGGTGTCTGATTTGGGGTGGGGGGATCGTGTCCCCTTGCAGCTCAGGGCCTGGATGGGGCCCCATGGTGGACATCCTCTGCACTATCAGGCTGCTGCGTGTGTTGTCGGAGAGGTTCCCCAAGTCAGACATCACCTCTCCTTGCTGAATCTGTGCTGATTGATTTTTTTCCCCCTTTGTGTGGCTGGGAATGGTGTCTGGGATGAGCTGCTCCATCACCTTCCCAGGCACTGTGGTGAAGCCCTTTGCTCCCTAGGTCCTTCTTGCTCTTCCTTTGGTTGACACTTGGAGCTTCTAGGACCTCCTCCCAGTAACACTTCTCAGGGATGATGAAGGCCTTGCTGTGAGGGTGCCAGCTCCCAGCATCCATGGCTGCACCTCATCAGGGCCCTCTGAACAACGCGATCCTCTCCCACCAGGGCAGCTCCTCTACTCCCCCCTTTCCTCCTGCTGTCCAGGCTCTGGGATTCTACGATCCTATGATTCCTGAAGGGCAGTCTTGCAGCTTGGCACTGAGCGGATGAAGACATTTGGTACCTCGGTGTCTTTCATGTCCCATGTCCACGTGTTCCTCAGCCCTTCTTTTGCTCCCTATGTACAAACAGAACATCATGCAGGCAAGAGATGCTATGAAGAAAGCAGATCGCTGACCCCTATCAGAAGATTCCAGGTTCGCAGGGGAAAGCTCCTCCAAGGAGGGATCTCCAACCACAGATCCTCCCCAGTGGCTGTCAGCCCGCTGATGGGGTCTAAGGGAGTGCAGCCAGGCTCAAACCCTTCCTATCACACAGCTCAATTACCTTCACCTGTGCTGCCAGGGCTGACCAGTCCTTTCCCAGGCAATCCATCAGTGGATCTGGCCGGGACTCCACAGTTCCCACACAAGCAGTGACGCCATGGGGCAGGGACACAGTGGAGCAGTGATGCTACGGGGCAGCGTTGTGAGGGGGGAGCAGCATGGGGGAGCGCTGCTACGCGGCAATGACAGCTTTTGGTGTGGCGCTGTGGGGCACTGATGCTATTGGGCGGCTGTTACAGCACAGCGAGAAAGAGACACAGAAGCGGAACAGCAAAGGGACAACCAGGAAGATTGCTCAGCGATCTCGGGACATCTCGGCGCACGGGGAGAAGGAAGGATCTCCAGGGAGGCCCTTCCACGGGATCCAAGAGAGGTGCGGCCACCCCTTCCGATCACACCGCTGCACGGCCGCTACCCGCGCTCCCAGGGCCGAGCGGCCCGCTGCCAGGCGATCCATCAGTGGGCCGGGCCGGGACTCAGCAGTTCCCGTTCGGCACGAAGAGCCCGAGGCGGCTGACAGCAAACGGCGACACGGGAGAGGATCTCAGCCGTCAGCCGGGCGGCGCTTCGCCCCGGGGACGGCGGGCAGCGCCTGCGGGAAACGCGGCCCGGTGCGGCTTCGGGCCGTGGAGCAGCGCAGGAAGCCCCGGGACGGAGCGGGGAACGATCGCAGCGGAGAAAGCCGGCGGAGCGAGCGACGCGCCGCGACGTCACCGCGCGCGAGGATGACGTCACGTCCGGCCTGCAGCGGAAGCGGAGCGCGGACGGGCGGGGGGGGCGGTACGGCAGGGCGGGAGTGGCGCTGCCGCAGTTCGTGTGCGGGGCTGCGGCGCGGAGCCGGGGGGCGGTGGGTGGCGGGGCGGCGGGACGCGCGGACGGCGCGGGGCTGCAGCAGCGCTGCGCGGGGCGGCTGAGAGCAGGCGGTGAGGCCCGGCCCGCGCTGTGCTGCGCCGCGTCCCGTCCTGTCCCGTTCCGCAGCGCTGCGGGAAGCGATGGGAGCGGCTGCAGTGCAGCGCTTTGCTTACTGCAAACGGCGCGTCTTTGGCTTGGCAAGACGGGCGTAGAAAGAAATGGGAGGAGTGAGAGAGGCGTGTGACCCGCGGAAGGTATTGTTAATGCCGACAGCGTGAAGGTGCTGGGCGTGCAGAGGCCTCTTGTGCAGGGAGAAACGGGGTGAGCTGCCGGCAGCTTCCGTCAGTGCCCGCCGAGCGGCGAGCTGAAGTCGTGGGCAGTGCCTGAAGGGAGGCTCCGTGAAAGCTGGGATGGGGCTGTTTGATAAGGGTGTGTGGCGACGGGGTGAGGGGAAACGGCTTTGAAGTGGAAGGAGGTAGATTTAGGCTGGGTGTTAGGAGGAAATTATTTCCTGAGAGGGTGATGAGATACCGGAGCAGCTTGTGGATGCCCCCGGCCTGGAGGCATTCAATGCCAGGCAGGAAGGGCTGTGGGAGGTGTCCCTGCCTGGAGCAGGGGATTGGAACTAGATGATCTGAAAGGTCTCTTGTAGCCCAAGCCATTCGGTGGTTCTGTGATTCTTTGGGAACTGCAGAGGAGAATGGCTTTAAGGAAACAGTAGCACTACAGGTGCAGTGTGCAGTTCAGAGAGCACCTCTGTGCAGTGAGAGCAGGGAGCGCCTGAAGCAATACGGCCCAGACACAGAGAGCAGCTCGGAACGGCGACAGAGCCATGGAAACACCAGGCTGGAGTGGAGCTACAAGATCATCCCATCCAACCGTCCTCCTACCGCCGCTACCACCGCTGAGCTCCTCAGCCTTATCTTGGGGCACCGCGTCCAGAGTGTCCGTGGTCTGTGGGCTGGTTCGGCCTGGTTCCATGACTGGTGGGGGGATCTGTGGATCCCCGCCCTGGAAAATGGAAATGGGAAAAAGGATACAGAGATGGGCCCTAAAACAGAACAGAAGCGACGATCTGAAAGGAAACAAACTAATTTGCTAGAAAAGACATCGGAATGCAAGATAACACTCTGTAATACAAAATAATGCAAGATAATTAGAATAGGAGCTAAAAAATCAAATGCAAAGAGAGAGAGTGTCCAAAAGCCAAAGGCCTTACTCTCACGCTGAGGCAGACGGGCAACAGAGGTGAGGCAGACGATGAAAAGGGCCACCAGGTGACCTCCCAAGGCCTTCTGTCTTTGCCCTCTGAGCAGAAATGGTAACAGAACAGTGAACAGCACCCCGTGGCCAAGAGGACCCAGTGTCCGTGTTCACATATCCTCATCCCTGACACCGAAGGGATTCTGGTGCCTTTGTTTGGGTACAGAATGTACACCCGTGGACAGCGGACCCTCTGTCCATGTCCCTGTAGTGTAGTGACAGAGCTCAGGGGGCTTTGGCATCAATGTCCCCCCCGTGGCCAAGAGGGACCCAATGTCCACGTCGCCATGTCCGTGTCCCCTGTGCCAAGGCAACCTCGGTGTCACCCATGGAGGACAGAATGGTGCCACGTCCCCATGTCATTGTTGCCAGGAGCCAAGGAGACCTCAGTACCACTTTCTTTGGGGCACGGTAGGGACGCCCGGTGCGTCCTCATCCCCATGACAAAAGGACCCCGGTGTCCTGGTCCAGGTGTTCCTGTCCTCAGGGCCGAGGGGACCTCAGTGTCACCTTTGGGGAACCAGAAGGGTCCCCCACATCCATGTCCCCGATGCCAAAGGGACACCACTGTCACCTCTGGGGCCCAAGTGTCCATCTCCGTGTGTTTGTGGCACAGAAGGGTCCCCGATATCCCCAGTGCTGAGAGGACCTCACTGTCACCATGGGACTACAGAACAGGGTGAGGCGTTCATATCACCGCCATGTTATCCCAGTGCTAAAGGGACGTCCGTGTCTCTTTCAGGGTACAGAAGGGCCCCCATGCGTGTGTGCGCCGTGTCCGTGAACCTGTGCCCAAGGGGATCCCGTGTGCACGTCCCCATGTCGTCATCCCCAATGCAAAAGGGATTTTGGTGCCCTTTTTTTGGGTACAGAAGGGACCCCTGTGCCCACGTCACTGCAGCCGAGGGCTCCTCCAGGAGTGCGCATCCCCACGTCCCCAGCACAGAGGGGACCTCGCCGTCACCTCCGGGGTACAGAAGAGCCCCCGACGGCATTTCGGGGTTCGTCCCCCTCCCTCACTCCCCCCAACCCTCCCCCAGCTCCTCCAGCACCTCCCGCATGGTCCCCATCCCCCCCCGACCCGAACACGCGATCGATGCGGTTCTCCCGGTCCCACACGCAGCGCCCGCGGTAGCGGATGCGCGCGATGCGGTGTTCGGGCACCGCCAGGTCCGCGGGCCCCGCGTCGCACAGCGGCCCCGTGAAGAACTCCAGCAGCGGCCGCTCCACGACGCCCACGAAGCGGTCGCGGAACTCCACGGTGGCGGCCGCGGGGTCCGCTCGAGGGTCCCAGCGGAGGCGGCTGAGGACGGCGGCGGCGCGGCGCAGCGGCGGCTTCTTCCCCGCCGCTCCCGGTTCCTCCCGCGTCGCTGCCGGTTCCGGGCCGGCGGTCGGACTCTGCCCCGGGTGCGGGTGGCGGCAGCGCGGCCCGAAACGGCAGCGGCCCTCCAGGAACCAACGGCACGGGGCGGGCGCCGGGGCCGGAACCGGTTCCGCGGCGCCGGGACGCCGATCCGGGTCCGGGTCCTCGGGACCGCGATTCAGATCGGGCTCCGCGTCCGCGGGTCCGGGCGCCGGGTCCGCGCCCGCGTTCGGGTCTGGTTCCGCGAGTCCGGAGCGCGGCTCCGGTACCGGCTGCGGGGATCCGGGCCGCAGACCGCCGTCCATGGGTCCGCGGTGCGGGTCCGGGTGTGGCAGCGGGCCCGTGAGTCCGGGGGCCGGAACCGGGTCCGTTCGGTGGCTTCGGGAGCGGCACCGGGAGCGGTGCGGGCAAAGAGCAGCGTGGTACGGGGCGGGGCCAGGACAGAAAGGGGGCGTGGCTGATGGCATGAAGGGGCGTGGTTAACGACGGTGGGCGTGGCTGGAATCAGACTGACAGCGCGCGGGGGCGTGGTTAAATGGAAAGGGCGTGGTTTAGCCACTAAGTGACGGGCGCAGGTCATGGGGGCGTGGCCAGGAATGTTAGGGGCGTGGCTTTAATACTGAGACGACCCGGGGGGCGTGGCCAGGTTACGGCGCGGGGCGTGGCCAAGGAGCTGCATTGGTGCCTATGGGCGTCTGGTTGTGTTTTACCTGTATGAGTATCAGTGCAGCCGTTTACATCCCACTCACCCCCCCCATGGTCCACGGCACCATTTATTGCCTTTTCTCCTCCAATTTCCCTCACTGCACCGGGTCAACTGCCCCCATCTCTTCTTAATTTTGAGTTTTTCCCTCCCTTCCTTCCTTCATTGCCTCCTTCCTTCTTTCCTCCCTGCCTCCCTTCTTCTCTCCATCCCTCCCTGCCTCCCTTCCTACTTTCCTTCCATACTCCTCACGAGAGGCAGATGAGGCAACACGGAGCCTTCAATGGGCAGCAGTTGTTAGGATGAGCCCTCGGTGGGGAGTGTTTGATGAGAATGTGTGCTTGGTTCAGGGCGTAGGGATGGAGCAGGCTCCCTCTGCACCTGGGGTGTTGAAAGACGTTCCAAATGAAGCTGAAAGCCGCTGGGACTTCCCTTTGGAGCCCTTTTTCATACCGACCCGAGCTGGGGTTGGCGTTTGGATCACGGAATCAATAAGGTTGGAAAATGTGAGAGGCGGGTGGTGTTTTTGCAGTGGAAGTTTCCAGTGTTTTCTGTACGTAGTCTCGGCCCTGACTGAACTGAAAAGCTTCCTGCGAAACAGTGATACAAGTTGTTTTTCACAAAGAAAGCTGCTGAACGGAGTAAAGTGCAGATTGGGGCGTTTCGGCTCAGGTAGGATTGAGACAGGCACAAGGCAAAGGGAACAGGCAGGGCGGGGAGAGCCTAGCGCAGCACAGAACCAATGTGCTTCCCTTTGGAAACACTGCCCTCCTACCTCTGTAGGAAAGCACAGGCCTAAAAAACAACAAGTTGGTGGCAGACCTTCTATTGTGGCAACAGCGTCGGGAAGATGGTGACCAGGAGAAGCTCCACCAACCTGTGCCAGGAGAGGAATTACCGCGTCGGACCCGGGGCTGGAACCGAATGAATGGACTGCTGTGCAATTTCTCCCTTTGGCCAGTAGGGGCGCATTGTTGCAATGATGGACAGACTTTGCTGCTCTCACCAAGATCTTTGCCTGCTTAAAAAGCTATGATTCGGAGCGTTTTCCTCACCGATGGATGACACAGGGAACACGCGGTGATCACGAGGGGTGGGATCACGGCGAGGCCGTGGGGTGACCGCGGGGTGAGCATGGGATGACAGTGAAGGGAGCACAGAGGGAAACACCATAGGATCACGGGGAGGAGCGTCAGGTGGGAATGAGGTTGTGAAGAGGTGGGCATGGGGTGGCCATGGAGCAACACATGTCAGCACCCTGCACCCAACGCCCAGCTTGACCCCAAGCGTCAAGCATCATCTGTATTCTGCCCAACTCCACGCAGATTTAAGGCCTTCCGCATGGCGTCACGTACGCTTGGATGAGGACGCCTGTCCTGGCTCCACGTCATCATGGCAATGGTTCTTCCCCTCTCAGTGGCCCAGCCCGGCCTCAGGAGCGCTCCATCACTCAGCAACAGCCAAAAAACCAGCGTGCTACTCGCAGTGTCTGAGCTGGAACCAGAACACTGCGAGGTCATTTCGATGGGAACACCGAGCGATCGCAGGTGTCACGGCCCAACCGTAACACAGCCATGAGATGGGTGAGGAAGTGGGTGCAGAATGTGTGTCTCTGGGATGACCGCGGGGTGATCATGGTGAGGACATGGGTTGGCATGCTGAGAACACGGTGGCAACATTGGGTGA